TATTTGGGATCTTTTCAACTGAAGAAGTTGACTTAATTTCTAAAAACATCTATATATATCTTTACAATCATCACATTTGTAGATTTTGGGGCAAGAGTATCTTTTTACCCGTATCCAGCATTTTAAAATCTTATTTCAGAGAGATGTGATAATCTATCTACCCAAAGAGCGATGTGTATGAAAGATAGAAAAGAACAATTTTTGGAAATACAAATACATAAACACACGAACCATAAATCTGTTAAGTATGTTAAGCTACATGTAGATCTTTGAATTAAAACATTTGCTCGAAAAATCATACGAATACTGACAACTTTGATGAAGTTGGCATCAACATGTAATCAGAGAGTAGGTCGTGGTCAATTGTCAAACGTCTCCGTGATCTCCTGCCCAATGAAATTACATGTATGATTCATAAAAGATTATTGTTGATTTTCAGATGTCTGCGATTTTGAGACTGATTTATGTGGATGGGATGTTCTGGACGTAAAATTTATTTATTCGGAAACTGGGGTCTGTCGCAATAATCCTCCATTTTGTTTCGCCGAGGATTCGGAAACCTACAAAAAGAGATGGACACGTGAAAAGGGGGGGAAAATAGAGCAATTACCAAAATGTAAAGGCAATTTTGTAATAACTTCTCAAATGTAAACTATTTTATTTCAAAATATATCAACTAGTATTTTATTAAAGAATTAAGTCTTTACTCTGTAACTTGATGATTTCTTTTATTTGCTTAGACTATCTTCATGAAAATAACACAGTTCTATACACTACGGGGTATATACCAATAAGTCGTACATTTGCTTCCCGTGATGTTGATGAAGAAAAAATACTTAGTTCGTCGTTGCTGAGCAAACATATTTCCGTTATTCATCATCCAAAATGTCTGCATTTCTTTTATTTATTGCAAGGAGATACGTCCTTAAACGTATCTTATGTGTCATCAGATCAAGACATTTCTGACAGCCATCCTCTTGAAAACATGGATAGATTTTTGCTTGAAAAAAGATACACTTATGGAAAATTCCTTCGCAAAATGTCATTGAACCTACCAATCATACCTCTGTTTCAGGTAAAAAAAAAAACTTTGATGCAGAAAAGCTTTGTGACTTTCTTTTTTTGCGTAATCTTGATAATTAGAAATTTTTACAACAAAAAAATTAACTGAGCATGCTTTTGATAACTTGTTAATATAGAAAATATAGGTAGTAAGCGTAAGGGTTTCTTCACGTGTTGTATGAAATTATTTTTTATTTTCTTACTTTGTATCACTTTACAGGGACGTAGCAACAGGGGGGTCCAGGGGGGGGGGGGGGGCTGTCCCCCACTTTTCGCCCCAACATTACCTTAAGTATAGAAAATGTTTATGTAGAGGATGGTTCCCCTCCACTTTTTACCATAGTATAGTGATATCAAGGAATTGTAGGGAAAAAATTGTAAGTTTAAATAACTTGGCTTGAAAAAAGTTGGCCACACAAAACTTACCTGAGGAAAACCGAACGGTTAAAAACCCCGGCCTTTAAAAAAATTATGAAATAATATGTAATTTGTAATTTGTCAGTCTGAATAAATCTAGTCAAAAAGTTACAAGGAGAAAAGTTTGGTGTCTGACAAATAAAATATATGACGTGAAGAAACCGAGATTTTTAAAAACACTATTGTCTGACTTCGTTCTCAAAAACATTCCATGTATTTATAGCGATATAACTAAACATTTCTTTTTTTTTCATGTTAGCAATTATAAATTGAAATCAATAATTATCTTGCTTCGATTGATATGTAAAATTTATTCAATTTATCATTTAAATAATTAATTAATTAATCTAAAGTCGAAAAAACTTAAAGAAATAAAATCAAACGAACAATAGAAGCTGACTTAAATAATGTAGGAAGATATTGATGCTATTTAAATATTTATGTTTAAAAGACAAAAAGATAATACCATACACAAGATTATAAAACATCGCGTGTTGATACTTTTACGCTTAATATGTAGTTAGTCCTTCTAAACCAAGACGTAAAATTTGTTGAAAGGTTATTCTAATTTATTGTAATTTTCATATTTTTTTCTTTTTAAATCTTCAATCGCTTTTCTCATACAAGAATTATATATACATTGATTTTTTTTTTTGGGGGGGGGGGGGGGGTCGATGGGTGTTAAATAGTGTGTGAGCTGAGTGAAGGTGTGTGAGGCCAGGAGTGTAGAGAGAGAGATAAGAAGAGAGAGAGGCAGCTGGGAAAAAATAACAATTTAGACGATTTTTAGATAGTTTTCCAAGCCAAATTTTTTAAACAAAGGACGGGAAGCTGGAAAAGTTATGCTATTTTAGACGATATCCAAATCAGCAATGGACCTTGTACAGGTATGTAAATCATATTGACTAAGACTAATAGTGCTTTCGCCCAAGGCGGGTTCATCAGTAGATTTGAAATGTATATAAAAATAATTGACGCATGCAAAAGCCTTGTAGAGTGTAATATGCAAGTAACTATATGCGGAAAGGATTACAAAATATTTTTGCATATTGAACTTTTGAAAAAAAATTAATTTAACAAATATTTATGTGTTTGGAAATTAATGGTAGAATTTTATATTCTTTATCTTAATTTAAAGTAACATTCCAAACTCAAAAACCAAAAATAAAACCAATCAAATGCCTAATGATGGTTTCTTAAAAAATCCTTAAAAGGTCGGAAGGAAGTATACTTTGGTAATATTTATGTAAGTTAATGAATCAGTTATTTTTAAATGATGTACTTACTTTCCGACGCCCCAAACTAATTGAAAATTATCATGCAAGATAATTTAATTTTAAACTTTAAGAAGATACAGTACAAAAAAAAAGTTTGGATGAAATGTTCGTTTTAACGTGAGAGAATTTTTTACTCATGTAAGACATTTGTACCGGGAATCTCAAAGACTGTTTATCTAAATATAGATAAATAACACATTTCCTGCGAGAAAATGATAAAAAAAGCATGTGTAAAGTTGGGTAAGACACCTCATCACTATATATATATAACAGCTGATGGTGTGTTTTTTTAAAAGTGTTGTACAAATTCAAATGCTGGCATAAAACCTATAAAAACTAGAGATACTGTGAACAATGGTCTCACTCAGCATGTTTACATCTTTAATAATTGAAGTTTTCAACATGCATTCGCAAACAAACAAAATCTTCTCAACGTTTTAATTTTTGTTGTAGAATATTGCACTCCTTTTCAATTCCACTGCCAGTATAGTGATGAATGTATTGATAAAAATTTGATCTGTGATAACATTGCGCACTGTAAAGATGGGACGGACGAAGAAACGTGTAAGTTTACAGCGAATATTAAAGTTTACTGATATTTCAAAAATAATTAACGAAGCGTCTCTGAGCTTTCATACTTGCAGATTTGTTTTTATATAATTGGTTGTAGATAAATGATTTTTAAAAAATGGGGAAAAATAGCTTCAATGCCGAAAAAGTTGAAAGCGAGAAAACACAGATATAATTTTAAGTTACCTAAATAAAGCATTAAATGATATATTTATGTTCCCCAAACGAAGTTGGGGAACATATTGTTTTTACTCTGTTTCTTATTATTATTATTATTATTATTATTATTATTATTATTAAGGTCTTCCGTCTTCACGGAAGACCTTATAGTGATTGTATTGTTTCTTATTATTATTATTATTAAGGTCTTCCGACTTCCTTCGGAAGACCTTACTGTTTTTCTTATGTTTCCTATTATTATTATTTTTCCCTTTTCATAGTACACGTGATTTCTCCGAAACTACTGAACCGATTTCGAAGATTTTTTCAGGAATGATGCATTGTTGTAATATCTCCAGACCTTTTTTTCATTTTTTTGAAAATCACTTCCGGTCGCATTTTTTGTCCGATTTTCTTTTTTTAAGTTGTCATTTTGTCCAAGCATCTTCTTGTAAACCACTCAAGATTGAATCATGATATTTTCAGGGATTATAAAACATCTTATTGAGTTATGCATGACGTCTTTTAATTTCGCATCCGTCACTTCCGGTCGACACAGGAAGGGATGTTTAATTTTAAGATTTTTTGAAAAATTTAACGGGATTGATTAAAGGCAAATAGAACATATATTTTTATTCACAATCCTCAACAAAAAGCATCCATCAGAAGTACTTCCGGTAAAAACCGGAAGTAGTCGAAAATTCAAAGTTTTTCCTTTGAATCAAAATAAATCAAATAAAACGATTGAATTTGAGTTTTTCAATTTTTTCTGACTTGCTGACTGTGATGTCAGCCGGAAATAATGCCGGAATTGTCAAAAGTCGTCAAATGACGTCACTTCCGGTCAAAACGCGTAATTACTTTTGCACCGAGAATAGTTTGGCAAGAAATGTACAACAAAAGTTGTGCGTAATTATGAGAGCTTTCATATAAGATTAAGGAAAAGGGGCTGGCCCCTATAATTAGGTCAGGGGTAAATAGATCATAAACGTTTTTTTTTTTTCTGAGAGCTAAAAATATTAATTTTTTAATGGTAACAGTTATACTATGAAAAAATTTTATCTGAAATCATTTCGAATTGATGAAAAACCCTGTCATTTGGTATAAAGATAAACAAACTCCAAACTTTTTTTTTATAAAACAAATATGTGGGAAAAACCTTACATGGACAAGTTGTCTAGCTACTGTAGCCAGCCAAGCCTTTACTGTGCCACTAACGCACAGTTTTAGCAGGGACCTATATACTAACATAGGTCCCTGGTTTTAGTTGATGCATCAGTAAGATATAGTGTTGATTCGGTGTTTCTCTGTTTTCTTTTTATGCAAGTAATTTAAAATGTGATGTATGTACACAACAAAAGGTGAAATCAAAATGGGTTTTTTTCTGCATTTGTATACATGTAGGTGTAAACAACGCGCGGCATTGTGGGAAACGGGTAGGTACTAAAGACTAGCTATGACGTCACAGCCTACTCCACTGCGTTACGAAGGCTATGCAGCGGCTGTAGACATTGTGACTGTTGCATCACGGGAGTAGGTATCTATCATAAACAATATGGCGATGTAGTCCACGAAATGAAAATTCTTTAACCTGACAAAGGTAAATATTTACGAATGGAGCAAAATTTGAAAGAATCATTTTATTGGAACTTTACAGGCAACCATTGTGGGTATATAAACAAATAGATAATCGATTTAATCAACACTAATTTGAAGTCTTTCAACTAAGAACTTTGCATAATATTTTTTAATATGTAACAATATTACAGTAGTAGATGCACTACGTATACGTAGTTTATATATCTGTGATGATATTATTTTTATCGGTTTAATCTGCCATCTAGTTTATAGAGGATCATGAATTTCACACATCAGGCATGGAGAGTGACTGACTATATTCCTGGTGATCATGGAGCTACATGTATCACACACTTCTAAGTAACAGTGAGCCATGAGATTGTGAGACAACTATAAAACTACTCAGTATGGGGGAGAAGATGCCCACGTAACAGCCATTAGACACAGACCGTAAGGTAATTCATGTTTACAAGAAGAAGCAATTGCAATATCATAACTTTAGAAAGCCAGTGTTTTCCCTAACTGGCCTAAGAACCAGCTATCAGCCAAATTGACTGCATCAATTGACAAAAATACCGCTTTGAATAAAAATTTGTTTTTAGATCAACCGAGATTCTGTTCATAAACCTCAGTTACCTCACCCCCAGCCTGTTGAAATTGATCTCTAACTCTTTACTTTGCAATAAAGGGAAATCACTGGAAAGTGTAGTAGTTTTGTAATAGATTACTTTTATAATTTGAAGTAATTGAATATTGACATATGATGACTAGAAAAGCTATAAATCTTTTGAACATTAAGTATTTTCATTTTGAATCCTATAAAACTTAAAAAATTGAATGTAATTAAGAAATGTGTTTAAAATGTGTTTAAAATTTATCTTTTTGTAGATATACCGGAATTTATGCACGCAGTAACAACTAAAATGTGGATCTATAATCCTATTTTATCACCTGGATATACATGATATAAAAGATTGAAGTGTTGGATTTTGACTGGTTGTGACAGTGTTAAGTTATACTATTTAGTATATTTTTTAAAGAAAAAAACTTCTCAAGCCATGCGAGAACCAGCCAGTGATGGAGCTAGTACATATTAACATCCAATGAATGACTAATTTGAAACATAAAAAAATTAATGTTAACTCTGAAGAAATCTGAAATAAACTGAATTTTGTAAAAATCCAAACAAAAATTGAAATTTTTTTTATTGTTAATCTTATAACCGTTCTTATCAAATTATGCAATAAATATTTTATTTAAGCATTGAATCATTATTATTTAAAGAATATAAAAGTTTCATTACTGCAACTGCATGTGAAAACATTAATTAAATAATGGTTATAATCACATTTAAAATGTTTAATCTTTTGACCCCCTGTTTGTATTATGGTGATTTGAATGCTAGAGTTCTCTCTCACTTTCTTTCCAGGGAGAGTTTTTTTTAAGTTGCAAGAACTTGTAACCAATCCCATTGTATAAATTATACAATAAAATATGTTCAAAACAAAGAAAAACAAGATGTGTTTGTAAAACACTGATGCCCCCGTATGGCAACATAGCAAAGATTAAGCTTTTCTTAAATGCAAATTTAATTAATTCATTCCAAAAGTAGCGTATTCTCACTGGAAAACAATTGTGAAATTTGAAAGTAAGCTTATGTTAAAGTTTTTTAATGAGTACAAAAATCACCAAGGTCAAGGTCAATGTAAAAAGTATCAAATGAAAGGTCTTGCCACATAAAATACTTATGTAGAGCATGAAAGTCCTAGCCCTAAACGTTCAAAAGGTATGGTCAACGTTCAATTTCTAAAAAAGTAGGTCAAATTCAAAGGCCAAGGTCAAAGTTATTGTTATCAAATGAAAAGTATTGTCACAAGGATCAAATATGTAAAGTATGAAAGCACTAGCCCTTCGTCTTTAAAAGTTATGGTCAAGGTTTGCTTTTTTTAAGTAGACACATATGAAATATGAAAGTCATAGCTCCACTAAATCAAAAGTTATGGGCAAGGTTAAAGTATTTGCAGACAAACAGACAGACAGAAAGACACAACAAAAACTATATACCCCCAAAACTTCGTTTATGGGGGCATAAAAACAAAATCACTTTCTTAGCAAAATGCATGAGGAATGTAAATACCTTTAATAGTATTTATTTTTATCCCATGTTTAACCCTTTATCCATGTATATGACTCAGATTGGATATTTATTTGTTATCCCATGTTTACCCCCATTACATGTATCCCATGTATATGACTCAGTAGATATTTTTTTGATATCACACAGTTGTGACCTCATCATAGGTTTTGCGTAGTGAAAGATACATGTAGCTTGTACTTTATTTGACTCTGTCTGACACTTAACATAATTAGGGCACCTGTAAGAGCATTACTGATTAGGCTCCATGACTAGGGCACCTGTAAGGGCATTAAGGCTCCATGACTAGGGCACCTGTAAGAGCATTACTGATTAGGCTCCATGACTAGGGCACCTGTAAGGGCATTAAGGCTCCATGACTAGGGCACCTGTAAGAGCATTACTGATTAGGCTCCATGACTAGGGCACCTGTAAGGGCATTAAGGCTCCATGACTAGGGCACCTGTAAGGGCATTACGGCTCCATGACTAGGGCACCTGTAAGGGCATTAAGGCTCCATGACTAGGGCACCTGTAAGGGCATTAAGGCTCCATGACTAGGGCACCTGTAAGGGCATTACGGCTCCATGACTAGGGCACCTGTAAGGGCATTAAGGCTCCATGACTAAGGCACCTGTAAGGGCATTTAGGCTCCATGATTAGGGCACCTGTAAGGACGTTAGGTTCTATTGAAGGGAGCACGAGGTAAGAGAAGCGAGACAGACCGTGAATTTCCAACGATGGTTAGGGCATTAGGCTCCAAGTAGATGTCATGACACCTAATACATTTAGAGCATCTGTTACTGTTAGGTACAGACACTAGGCTCCAAGATTAAGGCACTAATGAGGTCCGATGTCTAGAGCCACTCGCATAAACAAAAGTTCTATCTCTGTTTTAACTGTATTCATATCAATAACACATATAAAAACATGAATTGATTTATACAGTGCAGTATATTTCCAAAAATCTTTAAATGTGATAAATCAGAATTCAATTTAAACCATTTCATATTGATATCACATGAAGGTTTGAATTCTAAATGATCTATTTAATAAATGTCAAAATGTTGGCTTGAACTATTTCTACATATATTTCAATCTTTCAAATAAGTTGCAAAATAATTTATGTTGCAATTACATGTACCTGGGTAGCATAAATATATTTGTTAGACTAATAAATAGATGAATCAGTAAAGATTTTGAGCATCAAACTCAAAGGAACTTGTCAAATGCATTTTGTTTGTCATTTGTCAAATTTTTTTCACCTTTTAATTCTAGATCAGTTAAACAAATATTTAGGTATTATTTTTATGCCTCTACATATTATAATAGTGAAAGATGCCATTGACACTACTATAATATACACAATAATGACAATATTATAAAATAAAATGCATCAAGTCTTGATTGACACATTAAAATCAATGAATAATTCATGATAAAACAAGATATAATTAAGAATTTAAAAAGAGGACTTAGTTTTAAGAAAATTGATTATTATCATCTTCACTTTATATCAATTGATGCCTAAGTCAGAGCAAACAAACTTTAAAAAGCTTTACAAATTTTCAACTTAAATCAAAAGGATACCCTGTTAATTATTCAAAACCACATCAAGTTAATTCTTTGTTCTCTATTCAATACACATACACTTTTGTGACTTTGCTGCAGAATACAGAAAATGCCTCATTTTATATGAAATTTCACCATTCTTAATGCCATAATCAATCAGGAGATTAAAAAGTTGGGAGACCTTGCTATCAAACTTTCAGAGGAACTTGATGAACACTGTAATAACATATATCCGATGTCATCATGTCAATTATGTTTTTGATCATCCTGAAGGTACAGTTTTCACAAGGTTGTTTCGATTGTTCCTTGTTAATGTTTATTAATGAGAATTAAGAGTCTGAACGAAGAAGTCATTGTGTATGGGTATGAAGGTCACTGTATTCTGCAGTGGGAGTTTCAGCCTGTCTTTCAGAACATAGGTTCACTGAGGACTGTTGATTCTTGTTTCTGACTGCAAAAATTACTGGAAGAGATATCCACTCCAGGAGATTAAAAAAAAACCAATAGGACTGAAAAATCTGAAAGTAAATGGGTAGGGAAAAAAAGCATAAATGAAAACATTTTTCTTACCATGAGGTATAGGCTCCATCCGGAGGGGAGAATAGTGTCGGTAAGTCTCTTGAGGCTTGCATTAAGCCTCTCCTCATAGAACTGTTGTGCAAGATACCCCGGTATATAAATATCCTCTAACAGTATTGTTTATTCCACTTTGAAATGGTGCAGTTGCATGTATATGGTGAAGTTGGTTTAAGTATTAGTAGTTTGTTCTACATCAGCATAACAAGCATAAATATGAAATATAAATAAAAGAGTGAACATGGTGAATAATTATCATTTTGTATTAAAATTAATAAAATATATTCAATAAATGTAAATACTCTGGCAACCAATTAAAATGCAGAAACAATATTTTACATGTAATCAACTTTGCCCCTTTAACTCTATAATATAAAAATGTTTTTAAAACTTCTGTAAAAGTGTATCTTTTAACTTGCATTACCTGCAACCAATTTTGCAAACAATGGTGAGGTGCTGTACATTTTCATGAGAAGTTGATGACGACAGCCAGGGAACTTTTAATTCGTGTGGACAAAATGCAGCTTTTTTGATGCCAAAAGAATGTCATTGAAATACAAGATCTATTAAATCACTGTATTGACAAAGACATACCACAAGCATCTGTATGTGGGAAACCTGACCCACAGAAATGGGTTTCTCAGGATTCAGGAACCTGCATGTACATGTATTTCCATGTCAATGTTAAAAATAGAGCTGGCCTATCATACAGCAGGGGCATGAATTGTTTACACTGAGCCCATCTGTCGAAAAAGATCATGATGTAATGCACGTCACACTTTACTAGAATTGATTATATTTACATTTGAAGATTATACTTCTACAATTAAAAAAAAATTGATATGTAAAACTTCACTCACAGGTCTTCTTGTTTCCTGTATTGGTGTTTCATCGCCAGTAGATGAGGATCTCGGTGATTGAACTCTCTTTTCTGCCATCTTCTAGATCTCAAAATATATTAATCTCAAGTTTAACAGGTGGAATTTAATATGTGTCAAAAATAATTTATGATAACCCAGCTTGCAAATGAATAAAATAAAAAATTTATGCATTGCATTTTAATGATGAAAACCATTTTATACTGAAATAAAAAAGGAAACCTATGAGTATACATTTTACCATGTAAATAACAACAAAAAACCCAAAAGGGTCCCATTGATAACAATATTTTTCTCCAAAACCATTTCGCTCTTACAAAAAACCTTCATTGCTGTGTAAGATGGAACAATATACTACTTTAAAATCATATTTTCAAATCTAAGAGCGAACACTATTTTTTGTGATGAGTGGTCAATATACATACACTGTATATAGAATGCTGACCACGATGAAAAGATATTTAGATTTATATCTCTCAAATTTTGAAATAAAAATGTGAAAAGTAATGGTATCTAGTTTCTTGATATCTTAATTTCTCAGTGCAATAATTTTTCATCTTCTGGGTTAATATAAATCCTTAATATTCAAAAATTATGTATTCTTACATGGTGTATTGTGCCAGTTGTGGGGCGCTCGGCCATATTTCCCATGTTGATTTCAAGGAAACCTTTATGCTCTTATAAATTTAGCTTCACTTCCTTGAAAGCTTGTAGCCTCTAGAGTTAAAAAACCCTAATGACACATCTAAGAGCAATTTAGTCAGACTTTTAATTTCAATGAAATGGATTCGATGCCATCGATCCTCCTCGATTTTCTCACAAAATGGATTAAAACCGGTAGTATTTCATTGTGAAATGCAAATCTATGATTAGCCAGGTTGTCTGATAAGAGATTATCTGATTATATTCCAATCTACAACAAATTTTACTCTCTCGTATGGCTATACAGAGTTCTTGAAATCTTTCGGTCCTGTCGGCAAGACCGGTAAAAACAACCAAGGACCGATTACTTTACGTTCCGTGTCAGTCCAAATGACCGGTAGATGTTGACAGAGCAACTTGCGGAAATCCGACTAAATTTCGTACGAATTCCCTAACACCGACGGGTCGTAATCTGCTAAACGCTTTCGTGTACCTAATTTATCGCTTCGTTGATTAATGCAATGAAAACACAATGATCGGTATCCTGTAAACATGTGGCCGATCAAGTTTGTTGACGGCGCTAGGCCAGGTAAAAAGATCAAATTAGATAAGCCAAATGTCGAAAAAAATTATGAAGACAATCGCCCGCCTCGCGAATTTAAAGAAAAATGGAAGGAGGGGAGAGACTGGTTATTGTACGACGATAAAACAGGCATGAGGTGTGCTGTATGTGTTGACGCTGGTGAAAATATCAAGGCCCCGAAAAACAATTTCATTACAGGATCCAAAAATTTTAGGTTTAGTACTGTCGCAGATCACGAAAAATCGATATCACATATCCATGCTTCAAAGGATGTTGCATCTCGAGTTGAAGCAGCTAAGAAAACGTCAGTTGCTCATAAGACTGTGCTATCTTTGAATGAGGCTGCCCGAAAACAAATTGAACTTAAATTCCGCAACATACATGCATTGGTAAAGAATAATCGGCCAATTAGTGACTTTACATGGTTAAATGAACTTGATATTGCCAAAGGTGTTGATCACGGAACCACCTACAACAACCTTACTGCAGCAACAGCTTTTTTAGAGTGCATTTCAGATGTTGAAAGGGAAAGGATGAAAGAATTGTTGACAGGTATCAAATTCTTTTCTCTGACTATGGATGGTAGTACAGACTGTGCAGTTGTAGAGCAAGAGACATTATTTTTTCGTGCAGCTAAGAATGGAAAAATTATTACTAGATTTTTATGCATTGGGGAACCAAATTCAACCTCTTCAGCAGATTTATATACATTTGTGAATGGCAGTATTCAAGAGAATGGGTTGGACAAACACATGAGTAAACTTGTGGGTTTTGGAAGTGACGGGGCTGCCAATATGATGGGAAAGAAGACTGGTTTAGTAACTTTGATGAAACATGACCACCCTGAAATGATAGGGATTCATTGTTTAGCGCATAGATTAGAGCTGGCATTCAAAGACATATTCAAGGGTGACAAGCTTTACATACAGCTTACCACACTCCTTCTTGGGATTTATTACTTTTATAAGAATAGTCCAAAGCAAAGAAAATGTCTAAAGAGAAGCATGGAAGTAAGCTGATTGCTCACCCTAAGTTTACTTTAACTTAAAATTTTATCTGATTTTATTGAAGTATATGTTTTATTCAATATTATTGTATTATCTAAATAACATTTTTTTAAATTCAGATTTTAGATGTAAAAGGCACATTACCCCACAGGGTATGTGGAAGTCGATGGTTGCCCCACATGAAGAAGGCCTTGGGTACGTTGTTCAAAACCTACCCTGCATTCTTTACACAGTTGCAGAATGCATCACATGGTAATGCCAAGGCAGAGGGACTTTTCAAGATGTTGGAAAGTTATAACATTTTGCTATATGCTGCACTTTTGCAGGTATGTTTATCTATAAATCATGTAATTGAAGGCATGAAAAGAAATACAAAATGTGATATAATGTAACTAATTGGTCCATTTTTTCAAATAATTTTAGGAGATCATTGGTCCTCTCACACGATTATCCTTAACACTCCAGAAAACAGACATTACACTTGGGGATGCCAAAGATATGATCTGTGCTACAAAGGAACTCCTACTGCAGATTGACACCAGGTAAAATAAAAAAATCCTTTGCTTGCAAAATTTAAACTTCACAATTTGACAAAGTTTACATACTGTTTTAATTTTCCTACTCTTACATTTAAAGTGACTGCACCAAATTTCAGAGTATTGTTAAAGATAAGGAGTGGATAGGACACCCATTGAAAGTAAAAGGAAATGAGCTTCAAATCCAGAACAGATGCAACACCATCGTGTCAGCATTGATCAAGCACATTGACCTTAGATACAAGGACCTGAATGATGATGTGCTCGAGTCAACACTTATTGGTAGCTTCAGAAATTGGCCATGTGAAATGAAATCTGGTATGTTTTACTTGTGCTTTAATTTCAATAAACATATTGTATATATGTAAATGATAATTCATTGATAATTTTTTAAAAGATATTTCATAAAATGTTATTTGAATTTCCATATAGCTTTGGAACACCGGTGATAGACCTAGGTAATTTATGTGTACTCGAGTGGTGTTGGCTTATGTATTGTTATAGCTAGCCTCTGCTACCTTATAATGTATATATACATGCTTTTTTCTATTGTAACACATTTCCTGGTTGTAGTAGTGTGTATGTAGTACATGTAATTGTATAATCTTTTTACTTACCTTTTGTATACTACTGCTTACTTGATTCTTGTTATCTCCTTATCTTTGTCATTTATTATAATTTACAATAATCTTTGAAGTTTCCTGATAATCTTATTTTCACATTCATGAAATGTTAATAAAATAGGTGTACAATTTAACAGTCTTTGGTGTGAAGGAGGTGAAACAGCTGGTGGCAAGGTTTGACAGGACACTACTGAGTCAGGGAGTGGCAACAGAAGAAATTTGTCAAGAGTGGCAAACTATGAAGAGCCTTTTGTACCAAAGGTATATACTCAACATTTGAATTGCAAATGTAAGGGTTTAGATCCTAAAGTGTCCACATTTTATTAAAAACTTTATATTTTAAGGCATGAAGGAAAGTTTGTGGGTGTTTCTTGGGAAGATGTGCACTCCTCCCTCTCAGGAAATGGACTTCCTAACATTCTTCACCTGATGGACCTCCTGCACAGCTTACCCCCTACAAGCGTATTGAATGAAACAGCATTCAACCAGATGAAATTACTGAAGACAGACAGGAGACAGAGGTTGTCTCACAAACATCTAAATGATTGTTTGATGATAAAATTGCAGTCCCCAGCCATCAGTGAATTTGACCCAAAAGAAGCAGTTGACAGATGGATGGTACTTATTTAGTTGAATGCAAAACATGGTTAAATTATTTTAAATTGAATGATTGAAAGTTATGAAATAATTTAGATATTTGAGAGATGGTATGAAAAAAAAAACATCTTAAACATACTATCTAAAAATTCTTATTAAACATTTTGGAAATTTCATTTTAGTTATCCCCAACTGGACAGAAAAGAAGATTTGGCTATCAAAGGAAGAGAGCTCAACAGGAGGAGAAGGAGAGACAAACAGAAAGAGAGAATGAGAGAGAGGATGAAAGAGAGAATGAGAGGGAGAATGAAATAGATAATGAGGGAGAAGATGAAACAGAGAATGAGAGAGAGGATGAAAGAGAGAACAAGAGGGTCAGGGATGTTAACAGTGAGAGAGAAATTGAAAGTGAGGAGTCAGAATGTTACAGCGAAAGTGAGGAGTCAGATTATGAACAAGATGAAGTTGAAAATGAGAGAGAGATTAGAAAGCTTGTTTTAGAGATGGAGGTTGAGATAAATTGATAATAAAATTTGAAAGAAAATTTTCATCTTTTTATTGATTTTTTTTGGACTGATTGAAATCTATCCGGACTGACAAAGTTCAGATGGTTGTCAGTCCAAATGACTGACAGTGGAAAAAAGATTTTAAGAACTCTGGCTATAATACTTTGAAAAGTGGACGAAAACATACCAGACCCCCTCTTTGGGAAGTATTTTGCTACAAACGAGAAGGCTCTCTCTTCAAACAAGTCCGTTACAAACGACAAGTTGTGCTGAATATAATGTATAAACTTAGCTGTAATGTATAAATATAGAAGTTTCCCTATGAACAATGTTCTTGACCTTCAGACTGCAATTAAAATCCACCAGCCGGACCTATTCTGGCGTCTGCTCCTCCATGTTTTACCCTTGTCACGTGACTTCCAAAATAAGTATGGCGTCAGCAGCTCTAAGGCCTCGATATCCGATGAAGCATGAAACGGTTCGAGGACTTATGTACTAAGGCTAACTAAAGACTTGATATGCTAAAATCCTGATTTGACCTGATTAAAAATTGTCAGTAATATTCCAAACAAATGAATTCTTGTATAACATAATGCATCATAGTCAAAGGTCTTTAAAATAAGACATTTTAAGTACTCAATATTATCATTTAATTTAAAATAAAAACATCGGGTAATTTCAGGTCTTTAGTACATCCGGGTTTCAGTGTGTCCCATCGAAATCGGCAAATCGGACACATGTTGATCATGTTTACAAAGTGAAGTTGAGGATTTTCTCACCATACAAGCCGTATGTAAACATGCACGGACATTTCATCTGCAGCTCAAAGTACTTTATCAATCCTCTGGAGCATTATTCTAAGCAAAATTATCCGATTTATATATTCTTGTGTGAATTGTTTACGAGGAAATTCCGACTGTCACAGTAATAAACAAGGATAAACACTCTTGACTCTGTTTCGGATTCCCCAGTGATAATTGTATCGAATGATTAAAGAGCTGACGGTTACATTTTAATTTATGATTGGCGTGGACCATGGGAATTAATTCGAAGGTAAGATTTTTGTTTACCTTAAATTTACATTATATTACTATGGCAGCTTAGAGCATTTATCAGCTGTCGATATTTTTAGAAATACACAGACACAGCGATATATTAACTGTTTTACAGTTCAGACGCTCTCAGTTAGCCTTTTAAAATCCCCACAGCTTTAAATTTTATTTAAATATGTGTGAGCATGTAATTTCAACAAGACTTGCTTTCAACATGTTCAAAACAAAATGTTTTTCAACTAATAATATGTTGACGGGTGTGATGTTAGGGTACGATAAGCATGGTAAGGGCAGATACTTATTCACTTTTAATTTAGATCAGGCTTGTCAAGCCGCACTAGACATTTGGTGCATCGATGCATGTTCACATGGACTGAGTTCAATTCAAATTATTTTAATTCGAATTAATTTACTGCGCATTAAATTACTTTGCATTAGCTCCTTGTGAACACTAACATGACTAAGGTAAGCTAATTCCAATTAAATTTTGAGGCATGTTAAATGGCAAAATTAAGTCAAATGCTACATGTTGGTGGTCAGCTTTAAGTACTTGTGCTATTTTTGAGTGAAAAACTAAGGAAAATATAGTGTTAATCACTAAAATGTGAAAACAGACACTGTGACATTATGTCAAATACATCTGTTTATGCCTAAGGTGACATGATTTGTAAATGATGTCATAAAAGCCTAACTGAAGCCTGCATGACTGTCAAAGTAAAATTTTTATTCGATTTGGTTACTTTGCATTATAATTAGCTGTCATGTGAACACAGTTTGATTCGCATTAGTTTGATTTGCATTTAATTTAGTTTACTTCGCAATAATTTACTGCGAATTAAACTCTCCGTCTGAACAGGGCACTAGACTCTAAAGTCATATGACGTCGTAGTGTAAGTTTGGCCTACAATACCACTTTAAAGCTTGAATGTAGCTCAAAGAAGCAAAGCACTGTGGGTCCAAAGTTACTGCAGAAAAAAATTTAGTATCATTTATTGACAAAAAAATTGCACACAATATAATATTGCTCAGTTAATTAAATCAATATTTTATTATGTCATCATATGTATGTTTCTTAGTTAAATTGCAAAAGAAATTTGTAAAAAAAAAAATGTAATAGTAGAGTTTGCTTTTTTTGTGATAAGGCTGCAGAAATTGTTTGTTTGTTAATTAGTCTATTGAAAATTTTTCAGTCATTTTATGATGCCACCACTTGGGATAGTAAGCTGCAACTATAGACTTGTACTCAGCACTTATTGCCTTTGAGAAGTAAGGGATCCTTTTCGTGCCAACACCCACACCTACTGTGACGCAGAATCTCGGTTTATACAGTCTCTTTGGAGTAACCTGTCTCTAGCATTTAGCAGTAAGTATCAGCTTCTTATTGATACTTTGATTGATAATGTAATCATGAGAATCTCACTCATTGACTCATTAATATATACTGGTGAATAGCTTCAATATGGACCTTTACTTGGAACTCAGGGTCATTATCCTAACATCTACTGTGAGGTTTTTAGGGTCTAATTCACTACAAATGTTGGGTGCATGGTTAGGGAACATAACTGCGTACATGTTTTTGTCTTAGGTTTGATGCAGTGAATTAAAATCAAGCCCAGCTTCATGATTATACATAGCGATTGCCCTACCACTAGGCTACCATAACAGACAATGATGTATTTGGGTTATATAGTAAAAAACGCTTAGGCGAACACTTATAATGAAAAGAAGCTTATCAAAAAAAATTGAATTTTATTCCCAGTCTTTTTAAAATATATATGGAAAACTAAATGGTGTCCTGATAAGGCAATTTGTTAAAGTGTGTGTTAGGAACAATGTGCTAACACAGTGTTCTCAACACTGTTAGGCTAAGGCAACTTAGAACAACATGCAGTTGTGCTGATGCTCAACATGCTGCCATGCTATAAATACAACTTTACACAATCTATTAGGCCAAAATAAAAAATACTCCTGTTTCCTGTCACCCGACCTACCCTACATTTTACCCTCCGACCCTAAAATTTTTATTACATTTTCATTTTTTGGATAACTATTTTTCTAAAATACTGAAGTTGACCAATGATATTTACAGAATTAATACATCACAAGTGTACAGGTTACCTTTACTTTATAAATCTTGATTAACAAACTTGCTTTGAAACTGTTAACATATCATTTTCTTGTTATTACAGTTATTACATGCTATATGTTCTGCATTCATTAAATTTTGAAAATAAAATTTTTTCTCAAAATAAAATTTTTTCCCTACCTACCGACCCTAATTTTTTTGGTCAGGGGACAGGAAACAAGAGTATATTTTATTTTGGCCTTATGTGTAAGCTTGACGGCGTAGTGTAAACAGCCTGCTGAAACTTTGTTACAAACGCACTAAATACATTGTCACCGTGTTGTCATAAGCACACTAGCCCATTCTCATAAGCGTGATAGCACATTTTTACTTCACGCTAGCATGTAAGTGTCTTAAACAATTAGCATGCTGTCATAAACTTAGTAGCATGGTGTTTTAAATGAGCTAGAGCAGCATTGTTACTTTGCGCTAGCTCATTGTTTCTTATGTGATGCTGTTTTGTCACTTCATTAGTGCATTGTTCCTAATGTGCTGTAACACCTTTATGAATGGCCTTATCCTGACACATAAAAAATCATAACCAGATACCATCTTTCTGACTGATTAGTCGGTTAACAACTGTTAACCATTACCATTCCTAATAAATTTTGACATGAACAAGTTATGTACATACCCTTTATTTGAAATCATGAAAAACTAATATGTTATTTATTACATCCTCAAATGACTGCCTGTAAACCTAAATTTATAAATGATTATAGAGTAGTTTTACAAATAATACACATGCAGAAACATGACAGTATACATTTATTGACTGAGTTCGAGGGCAAGATGCGTTTTGTCGGACCAAAGAACCAAACTGTCTGCCCGAGGCTGTTAGGCCGAAGGCAGACAGTTTGGTTCGAGGGTCCGACAAAATGCATTTTGCCCGAGAACTCTGTCAATAAATGTTTTGTTATACCTTTCATTTTATTATATATTTTTTGACATACATGTATTTTGTACTATATTCCGTAATGTAACATTAGATCTGTCATTGAATGAAAATGAGATTAAGCTCCGCCCATTCTGTGACGTAAGCAGTCCAACATCTCTCTGAGCGGTCCAACATCGATTTTTTATGCCCGCTCAGCAAAACATTAAAAATGTTAGACTTTTTTCTGTATAGATTTGTATAGGAACAATTTTTTAAAGGTATAACAATATCTTATAATTAAGTTTGATGGTTTATCTTATCTGATAAGTTGCACTTTAAAAAAAATCAATTTCTTTTGATAGGTGTGACTGTCATCTGAGTACTGAAATTTGATGCCAAGCATGATCATGATTTGCCAGAAGAGCCTCTTTTGGGAGATGACAAAGAATAAACAGCAGAATGAAATTGAAACAATCAACTGAATCAAGTCTCAGTTTAAGAAGATGATTTTAAATATATCATATTTAAATTTTGATTTGAGAAACAGACATAAATCCAAAAATGTGATTATATCAATTGCTTTCAGTTTTTCAAGATAAATAGATTTTGTTGCAAAATCTAATATGTTTAATTTGGAATAAATGTTCTTTTAAATATTTGTCAGATCTTGCATGTTTACATCTGTATTGAGGTCTTCCGCTTCCAAGGGAAGACATACCAATTCTAATGGTAAAGATGATAGAGGTCTGTCTTCAGTGGCAATATATAAGATCTAATATGTGTATTTTTACAGTATAATTGAAGGAACATTGCTATCTTGGCAAAACAACTAAAGCATTAACAAATGTGCATGATTCAGAACAAAGGAAATGTTATTTCAAACACAAGATCAAAGAGATGTCCAGTCACATTTCAAAGTCAACAAAGCACAAAATCTGTTTACAGTTTAGCTCATATGAGCTAAAGCTGTAGTAAAATTTTGAAAATTCACCCATTATCATCTTTATCTTAAATTCTTCAGAATTTCATTTCCTTCTCAGAACAACTGGACAAAGTTAAGTTAAACTTGGCACAGAGCATTCTTTAGTGTAGATTTCTGTGATTTAGTGATTTTCATAGGGACACATTGACCAGCATTTTTCTCAAAATTGCTTTTAGACAGAAACATGATATTTTCAGTGATGATAGAGCTACATGTGCTGATGTGACACATCCCTCTCTCTTTCCCCGGAAGTGCAGCACGTCGGCGCTCGCTATGGCTTGTAAAAAAATCCCATCGGGGATTTAGAAAATGTTCACACCTTTTCTGCAATATCTTTTTACATGTTAATATTTTGTAAAGACATTAAGAACAAAAGTTGTGAAGAATATCACGATCTTTCAAAGGATATCAACTATAAAGGGCTTGCCCCTATAATAAAGAACTTAGAGGGACCAAAATTTTTTCCTTAATATCTGAAAAAAAAAATTTGAATTTGTAATACGTCAAAAAGCAAAGTTGTTCAAAATGTCAAGCTTAATCTATTGAATTCGTCAAAATGCGTCTGGTGACGTCGCTTCCGGTCAAACCGAAAGTCATCAGAAAGTGCATATTTTTGTCATTCTTGACAAGGTTTTGGGTAACATATATCACTGAAGGCATTAAAGTTAATTTTTTGTCAATTCACATCACTTTTGGTCAAACCAGAAGTAGCCAAAAAAGCTTATTTTGAAGGTTTTGACTCAAAATTGAAATTATAAAGTCACTGAAGACAACTTAGCTCATTGCTTTCTTTTTGTTGATGTCACTTCCGGTCAAAACAGGACGGAAGACCTACTCGTTGCTTTGCAACGAGCTTTGCTCTAGTTATTATTATTATTCTTTTTTTGACAAAATTTTGTGCACGCGATTTCTCGAAAACTATTCAGCGGTTTTTAACGAAACTTTCACAAAATATGCGTCTTTATATGAAGTTGTGCAGTCTGTAATTGTTTTTGGAAAATTCGCTTCCGGTGCCAAGTTATGGACGATTTCCTGATTTTAAAATGCGATTTTGTCGCGCACTTTGATCAAAAATGGCAGAGAATATGAACTGGAGACTTATTGGAGATAATAGATCATGACTTTGTGGTTTGCAGAATTGCCTTTTCGTGCGACGTCAATACTTCCGGTCGTTACGAGATGCAAATTAAAAAAATCGTATTTTCTAACTTTTTTGTTTTTCAATCTTTTTCATTTATTTTTGGTATGATAATAGAAACTTTCCTTATAATGCTAATAGTACAATTTGTTTGAATGTTGATAAATCTAAACTCTAGATATAAACATTTTAAAATCTGAAGCGGATCCAAAATGGCGGCTCTCTCTGTTAACTCCGACATTTCGCAATAGGGGTTTGAGGAGGCAGTCGAGCGTTTGCTTGAACGAAAATAACATAAGGATAAATGAAATGTAAAGGAATACTTGGATTGTCACGTCGTAGTTACGTTGTAGTTCAGTGTCAAACTGACGTCTTCTGTAATTGGTTTCGGCTGATTTTCAAAGTAGAAAAAGAAAAGACTTATGTGCAAATGAATTTCGACATCTTTTATCTTTAGTGCACCAACTAATAAATGAGACAAAAATAAGAAGTTGTTTTTTAAAGATTGCTTCATGGAGTTTATGTTAGCATTCTTTTCTCAGAGACCTGATTCAGGTTATTGAGCAAGAATGATATCTGATTCCTTGACCGTCGTAGGGCGAGCCATGTTTTTCGGCGAAATATTTCAACCTTTGTCGATTAACTAATAGGAAAAGTTCACTTTGGGGATCAAAGGAAATTGAAAAAAAAAGTTAAAAATTCACAACCGTTTCACCCTTTTAGTGTTAAATGCATATATACAATATGGAATTAGTTAAAATGTGTTAAATATACTTTCTAAACCTCAAATAGGCTATAAGAACGTTCTTTTTATAACTTCATTGAAGCTACCACACCCATTTAAAAAAGCATTCCAAAGAAAATTAACTCGTTGTGTTTGTCGCTGAATTTTGAATAGTGACCTGCTTTTCATAATATTAAGACATAAGCACTGTTTCGTAAATATATACAAGCAGGTCAAGAGTAGAGGTCCCGATAGCGTAAGATTTAGTGCGTTGGAAATTCATTCTACTTGGGTTCAATCCCCCTTGTGTGCAAATCTTTTTTACTTTTTCAGCTCGAGTTATCGTTTTCCTTCCGGAATCGGACGGAAGACCTCTCGTTGCTCGCAACGAGTTTCTTTTCTAGTTATTATTATTATTACTATGTTCCCCAAACGGAGTTTGGGAACATATTGTTTTTACTCGGTTTCTTATTATGTTCCCCAAACGAAGTTTGGGAACATATTGTTTTTACTCTGTTTCTTATTATTATTATTATTATTTTTTTTCTTATTTGTTCTCCGGTACTTTTTTGTCCGCGAGTGTTCTCAGAAACTGTTCACCCAACTGAGCTAAAACCTTTTTAGGGTTAATAGGTGTGTAGTGTAGGTGTGCGGAACGAAGGTCATTTTGCGCGCATACGCCTGCACGTGCGTGCGCGTGAAATGAGTGAATTGACTGATATACTTAATATAGCTATAACTTTTACATTTTTTGATGAAATGCTTTGAAACTCATTACGTAAGGATATATCAAAAGTGTTAATAATATGACACTGTCAAATTAGCATGAACTCACGCGCATGCACGTGCGCCTTCCTCTGATTGGCTGAAACAAAAATCTCAATATATCTTTTATATTCTGACGAAATGCTTTGAATTTTTTAACATTGTCATGAATTAGGATATCCTACAATATAATCTGGAAAAAATTTCATGAAATCACGCGCATGCACGTGCGCTGCAATCTGATTGGCTGAAACGTTAAATGGCTATATCTCCTTTATTTTTTGACGAAATGCTTTGAAATTTAAAACATAGTCATGCATTAGGATATCCTGCAACATGATATACAAAAAATTTCAAGAAATCACGCGCATGCACGTTTGCTGCAATCTGATTGGCTGAAACTTTAAATGGCTATATCTCCTTTGATTTTTGACGAAATGCTTTGAAATTTAAAACATAGTTATACATTAGGATATTCTACAATATGATTAAGAAAAAAATTCTTGAAATCACGTGGATGCACGTGTGCTGCAATCTGATTGGCTGAAACTTTAAATGGCTATAATTCCCTTGGTTTTCAACCAAACAGGATGGGATTTAGAATATAGATAGATATAAGGGCCTCCCACAAGAAGGTATGGTCATCATGCACGTGCACGCACGTGCGAGCATTTGGAACGAGTGAAATTAAAAATACACTTAAATGAGTGATTTTTAATACTTTTGGACCAAATGGTTTAATATATAGTATATTTAAATAAATAGAAAATTGTAGACAAGATAATATGATCATTGCGCACGTGCATTCACATGCGCACGCCTGCAATGTTAAAATTTGAATATAATTGGTATCCCTCTGGGAAAACGTTGTTAAAGGCAAAAATGCACAGTTGTTGTCTTATTTAATAGGGCCTAAATGGAATATTGCACAAAAAGGGAGTTGGGGAGCGTTTGGGGAACATCTGTAACGGTTCCCGTTACAATTAGCACTAGTTATGTTCCCCAAACGGAGTTTGGGAACATATTGTTTTTACTCTGTTTCTTATTATTATTTTTTTTTTTTCTTATTTGTTCTCCGGTACTTTTTTGTCCGCGAGTGTTCTCAGAAACTGTTCACCCAACTGAGCTAAAACCTTTTTAGGGTTAATAGGTGTGTAGTGTAGATGTGCGGAACGAAGGTCATTTTGCGCGCATACGCCTGCACGTGCGTGCGCGTGAAATGAGTGAATTGACTGATATACTTAATATAGCTATAACTTTTACATTTTTTGATGAAATGCTTTGAAACTCATTACATAAAGATATATTAAAAGTGTTAATAATATGACACTGTCAAATTAGCATGAACTCACGCGCATGCACGTGCGCCTTCCTCTGATTGGCTGAAACAAAAATATCAATATCTCTTTTGTTTTCCGACTTAATGCTTTGAAATTTTTAACATTGTCATGAATTAGGACATCCTACAATATTATATGGAAAAAAATTCATGAAATTACGCGCATGCACGTGTGCTGCAATCTGATTGGCTGAAACTTTAAATGGCTATATTTCCTTTATTTTTTGACGAAATGCTTTGAAATTTAAAACATAGTCATGCATTAGTATATCATGCAGTATGATATACAAAAAAATTCAAGAAATCATGCGCATGCACGTGTGCTGCAATCTGATTGGCTGAAACTTTATATGGCCATATCTCCTTTGATTTTTGACGAAATGCTTTGAAATTTAAAACATAGTTATGCGTTAGGATATTCTACAATATGATTAAGAAAAAAATCTTGAAATCTTGTGGATGCACGTGTGCTGCAATCTGATTGGCTGAAACTTTAAATGGCTATAATTCCCTTGGTTTTCAACCAAACAGGATGGGGTTTAGAACATAGATAGATATAAGGGCCTCCTACAAGAAGGAATGGTCATCATGCACGTGCATGCACGTAC